TATAAATTTGAATTTGTATTTGATTTGATTTTCAAATCAAATATTCAAATGTCAAATCGAATTGCGGAACCCTACCAGTATCTACAGGTGTTTAGAATAAAAAAACTTTAACACCAGCTGAAGGAAAAATCATAGCTGCAGATTATGACTTTACTAAATTGTCATTAACACCATCTGTTACTTTATTCATTAATATACCATGTGATATATCTGAATCTTTCTATGATAGAAAAGTATATATCAGCTTTAAAGATGCTATTTTTCAACTAAGCAGTGCATTAAGGCATTCAACAGATTTTTTTAATATCATAAATCGTCAATATCATAATCAACCTTTATCTTCAATATTATCACTCTATACTGACGGAGGTCCTGATCATAGATGTACCTTTAGATCAGTTCAAATAGCATTAATACTGTATATTTGTTTTTGTTGGGTAATTTTGATATGCTAATTGCAGTTAGAACAGCTTCACATCACAGTTAGTGTAATCCTGCAGAAAGAATTATGAGTGTAATAAATTATGGACTTCAAGGTGTTGCTATAGAGAGAGAGAAAATGCCTGAGGAATATGAAAATGAATTTAAAGCTTTAAAGACATTAGAAGATATACGTAAAAAAGCAAAAGATAATCCACGCTTAAAAGCAAAATTAGAAAAATGTATTGTAACAGTTCAGGAATTGCTTTGTGAGCGTATAGAACATTTGGTTTGGAAAAATGAAGCATTTGAAACTGAAAATCCTGCATCTAATTCGGAAATTGATGAGATGTTTGAGGTAATATTTTTTTATATAAATTAAAATCAGACTGTTGTTTATATTTTGTTTTAATAATTTTATTTATCATTTAAATTAAGAACATATTGCGAATTGATTCCACATTAACTAAAAATGAAACTACTCAACAGCAATTATGAAAACATAAGCCCTTAATAGAATTTATTAAAACTCATTGTCAAGAAAGAGTATATTTATTTCAGGTAATAAATTACTTTATGCGAATATTTTATTTTTAATATTTATGTTTTTATATTTTTTAGATTAAAAAATGTAATCAACCTTCCTGTGAAGTTTGTTATCCCATCAAAATGCCAATTGATATCTTTCAAAATTTATATTTTTTGCCTGATCCAATACCATCACGAGTAAGATTGCTGGACGAAATTAAGAGTTTAGACAGACGTCTAAATGGTAAAAGTAAAACTTGGTTAAATTATATTAAAACCTTATTAAAAAATCTGCGAAATTTAGAAAAAGGTAAAACTATATCAAAGCTTATAAAAATAGCGAAACTATATCAAACACTTAGTAAAAATTTAGTGAAACTAAAAGTTTTACCATTTTGCCAAATCCAAAATGAGTTTAGACAAGCAATCCTAATCACGAGTTATTCTTTTAATATTTTATTTTTATAGATAAAATGTTATTAAAATATTATTAAATATTACTTTTTGAATAGATAATCCTGATCATTATGAAACATTTGCAAATTTATATGGCAAACCTACAACAGAAAAATTCTGGCCTTCTCTAATCAATTTAAAGTCTAAAGCTGAGCTGATACCAAGCAATATTCTCATTTCTGCCAAAATTAGAAGTTATATAAAATGCAATTCATGTGAAAAAACACAGTGTCTTTATAGTAATTCAAAATTAATGGAACAAGAAAAACAAGATTTAGAATCTGCATTACAAGTTTACACATATTCCTGTGGATCACCAATTTTTCCTGACGATCATAGTCTAGCACAAAAGGTTTTTGTTAGAGTTCAAATTTCCTGTGATTCACCTATTGAATTGCTTTATTATACTTCAAAAAAAGCAGGCAATATTTCTATCTGCTATTGGTGTGATGCGAATAATGATTTTGTAACTGTGCCTTAAAATTTAAGAGAAAATTTTAAATTAGTATATCCATTATGTAATAGTTGTAGTGAAAATGGAAAAACATTTTATACATGGCTGGAAAATAAGGTTAATAGTAAGAAAAAGCAAAAGATTAATCATATTAATTAGTTTTTTTTTACTATATAATATAATATGATATAATATAATATACAATATTAATAAAATTTTCAGCTGCATATGACTTTATATAAAGTCACGTGGTTTTATAAAATTTTTTTTATTTGACCTTCCCCCACATTTTTTTCAACTTTGGGCTTCAAAACTAAATTGGAATGATTTTTTATGCCTCCCTCTAAAATTTATAAACAACATAATGTAAAACAGATAATTAAATTAGTTTAGCCTTAGTGTAATAGTTCATAATCAAATCCTAGATGATGGACACGTAGAAGGGAAAAGTATTTTTGTTTTAAAGTTGATTTTTTTATTTATTACTTGAAATTCATGAGTATTTTAGAATTTACAAAAGAGTTAATTTACAACATGAACAAAAAGCTATTCTATTTATACAAAATTAATTTGTTACGGCTAACTAATGGGATATCATAAGATCTAAAAATCGCCATATAATCTGAATATCACCATATAATCTAAAAGATATAATCTAACTACCACCATATATCTGAATAATATAATCTAATTATCACTATATAATCTATTTGTTTTCTTGTGTCAGATATCTATTTTACATTCTAGCTATTCCTTTAAACTCTTCCTGATATTTATATCATTTACCATCATATAATCTAACTACCATTCACCATTGAATCTAACTACAACTCGAGCACCCTAATCACATCAAATCTTAAATATAGCGGCCAAATTTCCTCAAGCGGTTATTCATGTGATCTTGGCCTGAATTATAGAATTAACATAATTCTAACTAGAATTAAAACATGAATTTACTGTGCCATATATACGAATATTACGAATATTTTTATTAACAATTTTATTTACATATCATGAAACAATGTATTAGGTAACACCCTATGTCTTTTATAACGTTTAACTGCATATTCTGCTTGCTTTGCATCTAATCCTTTTCGATATGCATTCATATATCTATATGATTTTCTTACAAATGCCCTAATATGAGATAATGGAACTTGATTTAAAGCATTGACACAACCTGTTGCAAACCAGTCCAAGTATAGTTACAATATTTACGAGAATATTTCTTAGATGCTCCCCAATACATTTCAATAAAATTTAATTCAGGATGAAATTTTGGATAAAAAATCACTTTATGATCTCGTTCTTCAATAACTTCTTGAATCATTCTATTTTGAGCAAGAAAATCAGGTTGATTTTCAAGAATATGCCACATGCAGCATTAAATATTTTTGGATTTATTATTATGACAATATCCTATCAAACCTGGTTTCATTAACTGACGTTCTTCTAAAACTTGTTTCATACCCTTTGGTTTTCCCAGAGTGTTTAATCAAAATAATTATCGGGAAAATTCATATTTTGAACTTATCTATTAAATTCTGTATTTCTCATTCAGGGTTGCTTTCCACCAGGGTTCACATTCATATGTGATGCAACTAATGCATCAGGTGCAAAAACATCATGTGATGTGGAATTATCAAATGCAAAAATACTGATTGCATTTGAATGTGTTGCTTCAAATATGAGAATTGCACGTTGAATTATCTTTAATAAAAAAATATATTTATTAAAATTAATTAAAAAAAATAATAATAATTAGCAATCAATTTAATACCTGTTCAACTAATTTTTCAACAGTTCACCAACCATCATAATTCTTTCTAGGATTTATCATAATTTGGGCTTCATGTGGAATTCTATTTCCGATTTTAAAAAGTTTTGTTCCTTATTTAATTGTAATCGACCAATTGTTTCACAAATAAAATCACTTATATGAATAGCATGTCCTTATCCTTTCTTTTGCAAAGGCTGTTCATAATTAGGAACCCATCCAGAATTTCTCCCATTATTAGAATGAAATGTGGTTTTATCATGGATAATCAATATATGAATTTTTTCATCTAGTTGCAATTCAGAATTAATTTGAATTTCCATTTTATCACCCTCAAAAATTGGCATTAATTTTTGATAACTGCATTATAAAAAAAGTATAAATAGGCGTATTTTGTAGCTTGATTAACATTACATAATTGGTGATACTTACATTTCCATTTCTTTTAAAAAAGTTTTCTGATATTCCACTACATTTTCACGCTCATGACCATCCATATAAACTCCCTTTTGGTATTTTTTATAATGATAACCCATTTTCTTAAGCCAATTTCTTGCAGTAGTTTCGCTAATAACATTAATTATAAATTATTGAGAAACTAATTACCTAATTGTTGTTTTTATTTCAATTCCAAGTGATGGAAAAATGGTATTTGTAACATAATCCACAAAATCAGCAACATAAAATTCAAATTTTTTTTCTCGCAAGTAAGAGACAACTTGCATTTGAATATCTTCATCATCAAGTAAGCTTTTTACTTTACAATGTTTTCCTTGCTTAGAAAATGGAATAGTCTCTCCATTTTGCAGCATGCGGCTTCATAAACGAAGACATGAGGCAAACCATAGTCCTTTTTTAAGTTGTTGTGTAATACTAAGACTGGTTTTTAGTTTAGAATTTTGAAATTCAAGAAGCTGCATATATTGCAATATAGCAGTTAATCTTAATTCATAATCTTCATTTAAATTTTTTTCTTTTAGTTGTGCTTCAAGAGAGTTGATTGTTTGTTGGGAATTATAAATTAAATCATGATCATCTTCGAATTCTTCACTTATTTCACTATTTTCATTAAATTTTTTAGTGAGAAAAAAATGATCAATTGTCTGACCATTTTTTTTTAGCATCCCTTTTCGCTTGAGCATGATGTCTACATTTAGTTCTTGCAGAATTTCCTATATAAGTTGATCTGCAGGCTGGTGGGACATAATTCTGCATTTGAGTCATTAAATTTTGAATTAAATCTTCTTGATTACAATCTAAATCATCATCTCCCCATATAATTTCATCATCACTCTTCACATTACGAACATTTTCCTGCAAACTTTCCTCATTAATAGCTACCGTAACATGCTTATTATTTCGTTTTTTCTCAGCAAGTTTTTTTTATGTGTTTTTTTTTTTTTGAAATGCCAGCCATCAAACTTTATTTTTCAAAATAGAACACAAAAAGCAAATTGCATGTGGTTGCATATGCGTTATAATTATGTTGATCTATTAATAATTTTATCGCATATTTCAATGAAAATTTTGACATTAAAAAGCATTAAAAATTAAATTTTTAACCAAAAATTTAGTGGCCAAATCAAGAATATTATATATATATATATAATTTTTTGCTAAAATAAAATGCACATAACTTTTTATATATTAGCCCAATTTGAAAAATTAAATCATACTTTTGTAGCCCTTGATCTAATCTATTAAAATATGATAAGACTTTTAAATAATATTTTCTTTTTTGAATTATATGGCTATTTTAAAATAGGGTTTAAGACTTGGTATGACTAGGGTTCTCGAGCTGTACCACCATTTAATCTAAGTATCACTATTTTCTTCTTGTTCCTATTTCGTCTACATGTTAAATTCTATATTGCTGGTATTGGCTTTCCATTCTTGTTTGGATGCTTGGTTTCATATTGAGGACACTGGCCTTTTGCACCTGACTGAGTACTAGATTTCATATTGAGGTGCTTACCTTTTGCGCCTATTTGGTTGCCTTTTAAATGCTAAATTGTGATAAAAAAAATGCGTCAGGTGGTACAGTAAATTGCGATTAATTTCAGCTAATAATTTGTCTTAATTCTAGCTGATCTTTTGGGCATGTGATTTGGGGATCCAGCTTGGCGTTATTATGGTAACTTGGTAGTATCCTGGAACTACTGTGAAGTTGTCATAGAACTGTCATAGAACTGGCGGGAAGCTAGATAGGTTTTATTAGTTTGCCAGTTTTATGTCAGCTTGGGTGACGAATTATTATATCCAAAATTCTGGCTGAATTTATATAATAGTGCTGGTTGAAATTAAGCGAATTTATACTGCGCTTTACTGCATCATAGTTATGTGATACTATTCCAGCGATAGAATATCCTCACATAGTTATAGGCTAATGAAGAGTATGTTCTGGAAATGTTTTCGGAACCCAATATATATGTATTTATGCCACATATTTTTTGTATTCAGAATTGGAGATGCAATATGTATTATTTTGGTTTAGCCCATTTGATTGCTAGAAGTGTACCATCTTGCAATCCAACTATTGCCTATTTGTTGCCAGCATATTGGCAGGATATTATAAGCACTTCTGAGGCCTGATCATGGTTTAATCTAGGTTGAGGCGATAAATATGCTATTTTTTTGCTGTCCTTATAAAAATTCTCTATCCCTATAAGAAAAATTCTTCAGGATGCTCTTAGGGACAATTTTGATATCATTTTTGGGCTTCTTAACTTGTTTTATTGAATTCTTTATTATCTGTCCTTAAAAATCCTATCAGCCCTAAGAAATTTTAAATTCTAGGAAAAAAATCAAAATTTTTCTATGGTATACCACTTGGATAAATATAGTCATGTATGGTATATATAAAAAAAAATAAAAAAAGGTAAAGAGTTCGAAATTCATAAGGCTTATAGAGCCTCTTAAGGACAAGTAGTATATTGCTTTCCCAAAGTTCTAAAATCGTTAAAGAAGATACTTCTAGCGTTTTTGTTAAGTTTTTTTGCCATCCTTATAAATTTTTCATGAGGCAAAATTTTTGATAAGTAATTAAGGCCAACTTATAGTATTAGGCATTTTCATTCTATCGAGAGCCTGACTCATTGCCTCTAGGGTCTGATAGTTCTAAAACATCTTATCCAACTTTTTCCGATAATAATATATGTTTGAGTAATACTTTTTTACATGCCAATCACAAAATCCATATTCAGAAGTCATAGGTCTTTCACATCCATCTTGTTTGCATAGAGGTCGCTGATATCTTTTCCAGTGAATATAACACCCTTCTGGTTTTTTACTTCCCTGCCCATAAACCTCCCCTTCATTAGAATAATACTGGCAAATGTATTTACCACCCATTGATATTATTCTTAGATAAATAACACTTTGATATCTATAATTATTTATTTTATTTTAAACTTTTTTGTTAGGGTATTATACTGAAATGGTATACTAGATAACATTTCTGAAAATTTTTACTATGACATAATCTGAGCTTTCAGAGTTCCTCTCCAACGCCTCTGCCCTATAAAAACAAGGTTATAAAGCTAAAGATATCGGTGAATGCTTATATAAAATTCATAATGATAGTGTTAGACCAAGACATTTCCTTGGTGCAGACAATGCGGATGAAATAGAAGCAATACTCTTAGATTGTGAAGGGCATTCCCTACACGAGATTATTGATAGTGATAAGCCACTCTGTCCTATCATAGAATTTGATTTACTAATAGAAACGCTAAATGCTATTTCATCTAAGCTATCAGACAAACAGGCTAAAAACACATTTGCAATGCTTTTAGAAATATCTGTCTAGAAATATTCCCAAAATGGGATAAAAAACTATATCCATTGCTGATAGTAGTGATACGAAAAAAAATATCTCTCCATGTCTCAACTTTTGGTATGAGACTTCCAAGCATCACTCAGGTTGCAATATTTACTGAGCTTGTTCGTAAAAAACTCACAACAGGATTACAGGATAAAGGTATTGTAAACAACATAGCAAACAAACGATCATTTTCCTTGCGAATGCTTGGATCATCCAAATACAATGAAAAAACAGAGGAACATGTTCGTATAAAAAAAGCTATTTGTCCAAAAGATGGATCTATCTTTGACTTCATGATCCGCCCACCCAATAATGAATCAGAAATCATCTATAACAGTCCTCTCTTGACTGTTCCAGAAACGGAAAGTATAAAATATGCTAACATAAGTAATGAGACAATCATAGCTGAATTCAAACTAGTAGAGACATTACTTCAAGAGGCTAGCATCGAAGGGTATAGTCTCTCATATCCATCTGAAAATTTTCCTGATAAATTTCCAATATCACGCATCTCTCCATCATACTGTCCAATATGTAACCGAGAAATTGATAGTGATAATACATATATTATTCGAAATAAAAAATCCTACAGCTTTTTCTGCTACCGAGCAAACAATTATACAGAGCCCCGCTTTAGTAAACCTTCAAAAAAACTTACCATTAGCGAGACAGCCTTAGATAGGAAAAAAAGCTTTCAAGTCCCGTAAAACTAGAACAATCAAGAATTTCAAATCCAAATGACCATTTTGTGTGGTAAGACTTAATACGTATGTGTACTTCAAGTAAGAAATTCTCTCGCAGTGAAATTTACGAAGCAATTCAATCAACAGTCGCCTACATTGAAACTGAAAAACCATTCTGGGTATTAAAACGTGAGAATTCAGAAAATGAGCTTTATTTTGGTATAACAACTGAGCTAAAGCTTGCGAAGTATGAGATCAAAATAATCAAATATAGGGTAAATTGATGAAGTTAAGATAATTAATAGACCAGGCACATGTTAAAGGTCTAATAACTTATGAAGATATAAATTTCCTCCCATACTCCATAAATATCCCTCAATCAGTTTCAGATTTCTTTAACCTTTTCATAGGTTTTTTAGCTAAGCTAACATTAGAAATTAATAAAGAAATTATGGATTCCATTTTCTGGCATGTACTTAATATAATTTGTGATGAAAACGAAGAGTTTAATGAATATATTTGGAACTGGTAAACATATTTGGTACAAAAGCCAGAGAAGAAGCCCTGAACTATCTTAATGCTAAAATTCATATTACAACAGTGTGGGAAAAATATTATCACTGATTTTATTGGTGACAAAGTCTTAGAACCACATCTTCATTTCACTACATCAGATTTGGAAAAAAATCTTGGTAAATTTACAGTCCCCTTCAAGGGCGTAAACTCATTGTTTTAAATGAAACAGGAATATCTAGTGGGGAATAGCATAAGTTTAATTCCCGTCTCAAAGACCTCATAATTACCAGAAGGGTAGATATAGAATGAAAGGGTCTTGAAACTATACGAATAAGAGACTTTTCTGGGTGGATGGTTATAAGTAATCATGATGCTCCACTCAAAATAGATATAGGAGATTCTCATATAGTTTGTTTTGATATATCATCACGTTGTAAAGGTAATATAGCATATTTTGACCAGCTAGGGGATATTTTAGACTATTCTGATACAACTGGAGTATCATGTCATACCTCCTTAGCCGTGATTTATCAAATTGGAGTCCAAGAAAAATTCCTGCAACTAAGATAAAGATAGAAACAATGCGGGATCAACTTCCTAATCCTATTCAGTTTATAATCGATCATACTTCCTCATGGCCTGTTGGAAAAATTGATAGGCCATACTGTACAAATTTATATCAAGAATATATTGCCTAGTGTGAAAATAATGGAGAAAAAACATTTACTAGCGCTATTCTAGGGAAGAAGTTTTCACAAATTGGTATTGATAAAACACATTTACAAAATAATGGAAAAAGAGAATATCATTATATCCTTAACCGTTTCAAGATCATAGCTAAGCTTCGTGAATCTGGCCTAGGCAATATCGAAGAATTCTCTGAAGATACATCTCAATCTGACTTACCCGAAAATGAGACAGCAGACATACCCATATTTAATGTACCAGAAATTATTCTCCCAAAAATAATCCCGTCTATTTCAGAAAAGAGTACGCCTTCACCTAGAACTAGTAAAGATAAGAAGGCAGATAAACAGGACAAAGATACCTGTACTCCAGTCACCTCAATACTTGGAACATCTGGTATATCCGTAACTTCTAAAATACCTGAGCCAGTAATTAATGAACCTGGGACTAGCAAGCTTCCTGATCCCAAATCTATCAGTGAAGCTGTGAATATGCCTCCTAAAGAAACAACGTCTCTTAAAGAGATCCTAACCGATTCTCCCAAGCCTATCAATTAAGTATCATCTGCCATTCTCATATTCAGAGTCCAGCGAGAAGAGCGTCTTAGGAAAAAGGCAGTCGAGCTAGGTGAGAATCCAGATAGCTTTGTAACTATCACTGAAAAGGATTGACTTGATTTTATTGCATTCCGTGATAGAATGGAAACTGACTCTCGAATGTGTAGTTATGCAGTAGAGTTGGAAGAAGATCCCAATAAATATATGGACATGAAAGTACGGGAAAGATTGATAGGAGAAGAAATTATCCATCGTAGACTTGAGGATGAAGGAGTCACAACCTCGTGGTTTGATACCGACGAGAAATAGCAAAAAACAATAAGCATACTTTAAGAGAATGGTAGTCTTTAGTAAAGAGCGAACAAGAAGCCGATTTATAGGTAAGGTGTTTAGGTAAAAGGATCTATTTGTTCTTTACAACTAGGCGATATAAAATTCTGAATTATTTTTTTTTTTTGCTCGGGAATTTTTTCGAATTGAACTTTTTTGTACAGTCGCGTCACAAAGTGACGCCCGATTTGAAATTACAACCAAATATCACATTATTTATTGATTTATTTCAATTTTTTTCATTACATACATAAAAAAAAACTAGTATTTTGTTGGCCCACCCCTTGCTTCTAATACTGCATTAATTCTTCGTGGCATTGAAGCAGCAAGCTTCTCAAAAATAGACCCATCCAAATCTTCCCATTCCTGCTTTAGTGCAACTTTGAGTTCATTTACAGTTCTTGGAAAGACCTCCTGACTTTGAATATTATCCTTTAATAACTTCCAAATGTTCTCTATCGGGTTTAAATCAGGGGAATTTGCTGGCCAATCAATAGTTGCGATTTTATTTGACTTAAACCATTTCTTTGTAATTTTCGCGGTATGTATGGGTGCATTGTCTTGTTGAAAAACTGCTGGTCTTCCCGTTAATTCACGTACTGTACTTTGAAATGGAAGTAAATATGAATTTAGGATAGTAA